GCGACGTGATAATTGGTGCCATTTCTCCGTATTGGTGCCGCGTGCGCGGCAGATGACGTCTTGAGAATTCTTCCAGGCAAATAAAATACTTGCTTCAGCCATAAAATCTACTACTTCTTAATTTCATGGTCCTTTTGAGTTAGCCAGACTGACAGCAAACTGGCTACCTTACGAGGGCAGTATTTTTTGTCTATGGAAAATTTAAAGGATGTTACGGATGTAACTTAAAGTCGTTCATATTTTCTTTTCATTTCAGCTAGCTCGGTGGGCAACTTTGGGGTGGTTGACTTCATCCGGTCCCATCAAGCAACATATAATAGACCAAACGTTAAAAAAACACCGAGATCTCACAGCCGATCGCATGTCAGGACGGCAAATCATGACCTACCTTGAGCCACAGCGGTCCCTTCTAACTGAGCAAATCGATGCGGAAACCCTCTTTCAGGTGCTTATTGCCGAAAGTCCTGACGCTGTGCCGTTCTCTGCATTTGCCAAGTCCAGTTCGCAGGGCCATAAGATAAAAGCTTAGTGTTCGTTGATTAACGTTCACCGATCGCGGTAAAGGGAACTACTCGTCCCATTCTGCCTTGGGGCTGCTCATTCTCGAGAGGCACCAGTACCAACAGAACAGCGACTAGGCAGATAAAATTGCCGACAAGGACGCTAGAAACTGGAATGGCCATTTCGTGGCTCATTAGCCGTCGTCAGCCAGTCAAACCTAACCCCAAGTCGTGCACCACCCGAGGATCGAACCCGCAACCAGACAGTTCGAGCCCCGGGTTGGGCACCACTTGGAGTGTGGCATGACTAGCTGATGACAGCTAATGAGCAACAACATGGCCATTCCAGTCTCACTTGTCTTTGTTGGGTATAATATCAGCTTAATATGCGCAAATATTCGAGGTCAAGATATAATATTGCTTTTATCATCTCCAAAAGAGAAAGACAAAGAAGGGGGTTATCCCAAGTTGTATTTAAGTTGACGTTTCTAAAACATTCTCGCTTTCACCATCAGAATGTAGTTTCTTTTCTGTTGCTGGCGTCGAGTGAGTGTGTATGACTGCTAGACGAGTGTTCTAACTGCGTCTGATGCTCGCACGTCAATCGATTACTGGTGGCTGTTTGAATTGTTTCCTCAGGGGGAGGCACCCGCGAGGGCGAGAACGGTTAAAACAACTACTAGCAATCGATCGGTACAATCGATCGGCGTGCGAGCATCAGGTACAGTTATAACATGCGTCTAGCAGTCAGACACACTCACTCGACGCCAGCAGAAGAAAAAGCACTACATTCTTACTATGAAAGCGCAATTGCTTTTGAAACGTCAGCTGAAATATAACTTTGCCTCAGGAATTGTCCCATCTTCGTCTT